AGAGCTAGCTGGCGGCCGTTGAGAATGTCGGGCGCGCGGGGCGGTGGGCGCGCGGCCCCTCCCCCCGGCGGGCGCGCGGCAGGGGAGGAGGCGGCGCCTGTGTCGGCGCTAGAGGTTGTGTCGTTCCTAGGCAAGCTTCTCTGCGCAGTCGCGGCGCTGAAGGCGGCTCTCTACCTGCTCCGCAGAGTGTGTCTAGCGATGGCCTGGAAGTCGGGAGGCTCCAGCCACTCCGAGCTCATCCACAACCTGCGCAGTGAGTCTGGGGCCGGCCAGGCGAGGGAGGGGCCCCGGCGCGCACGGCCCCAACAACCCCTTCCCCCGGCCGTTACCGGCCCCTCGGCAAGACGCACGTCACATTCCGTCCTGGGCTGGGGAGAGACCCACTGTCACTGAGCGGGCCGGGGAGCGCCGGGAGGAACCCGGCTCTAGGGATGGGTTGTCCGCTGGGGGCGCGGGGCCACCGCCGCCTCTGGGTATGTGCGTTGGGGGGACCAGCCCCGCCCTTGCGGGTAGGTCCCCGCGCAGCCAGTCTGTGGGCGGCGGCTGCCGCTGGGGATGCAGCGGCGGCTCCTCTCCCGCTCCAGGCTCGGCCTGGGCTGCAGCCGCCGGGGGTGGGGGCGTGCCGTGCGGCGGCGGCTGTCACCCTGCCTGCCGGTGCTGGCCGCCTCGTGTCCCCTCCTGTCTGCCCCGTGCTTCAGGCGGCGCGTGCCCGGGGCGGGATCCCCCACCGGGCCGGGGAGGGCTGTGGCGGGGAGCCGTTGGGTCCGAGTGATAGCGGGGGAGACTGGCTGGGAGCGTTGAACGGCCTGAGGCCATTGCGGGAGGCGGTACTTCACCGTGTCACGGTCCCTTTGTATCGGTGTCGCTGGACGTTGTCCGGCGCGTGGCTTTTAGCGGCTTAAATCCCGGGGGGAGGAGTGGTTGGTTGTGGCCGCGATGCACAAATGAAATCCAGGGCGACGCGCTGGTAGGAGTCCGGTCCCCTCCTCCTCAGGGAGCGCGGGGCTCAGCTGGTGCCTGTGGGCCGTCCAGGTTACAGGCTCCTCTGGAAAGTGCTGCGTGGCTCTTGATATCACCCCACCTTCCCAGTGCCCACCTGAGGTGCAGTTTTTCTCTCACTTTTCCCAGGGCTTGCACTGCTCCTGTGTTGGGTGCGGCAAGGTTGGGACTGATGCCCACAGCTGTGTTCTGTTTTAGTGACCTGCAGCCCAAGGGGGAGGTGTGGGCTGGTTTGTGTGTGTGATCCAAATTGAGAGGAGGTACGGTAGGGAGTTAAGATCAGGAGCCTGGTAGGCTTAAGTTCCATCATTTTTCATATTAGCCTTTGACTGATACATTTGTAGTGCCCCTCTCCTAGCTCCTGGAAGGGGAAAGGATCTCTTTCCTCCCAGAGTCTCCTAAACATCGGGAGGCGAGGGTGACCACAAGAAGGACATAATTTTTCTGTAAACTGCGTTAGTAGTTTGCCTCCATTGTTTTACTTCTGCAATTCTGGGTTCTGCAAGGGTGCTTGTTTCTCAGTCACTCTGTTTCACAGGGAGGGAAGAATGTAGTTTTTGGTAATATCTCCTAGCCCCTTTATTTCAGAGCCCTTTCCCTTTCTCTAGTGTTTACCTTTGTCATTGCTCATCTCTAGGCTTGGCAGAATTTGATTTTTATTATTTATAATTTTGATGGATGTATTTATTTTTAAACACTGTTTCAATTTTCATCAATTTAAACATTCACAGTTATGGGAAATTATAGGGGTTGTCAGGCAATAATTATTTAATGATGATAGAAGTTGATATTCAAAAAGTTAAAAGCTTGTTAACCATTAAAACACAAATTTGCAACATCACATGTCAAAACATACAAAGTAAATATCCTTAAATCAAACTCCAATAAGTTGTCAAGCAGTATTTTTCTTACTTTCCCTCTCTGCAAACTTCAATGATTATTGCTAGAAGTATTTTTTGTCCATTAGTAAACACTGATTTCACCATACACACACTGACATTTACTGATAAAAATCTAATCCTTCCAAACCTACTCATATCTTACCCATACTGCATGCAGCACAGTATAGTGCTGAGATTATTTTCAGTTTCCTACTGACTACTGGGCTCTGGATAAAGCCTGTGAAACTGGCTACATTAGGAAGGCTATGGGCAGTTAGAGGCACTGGAGCTGTCTCTTCTGCCGATGCAGTAAGTTAACACTAGGTTTGTTAACATTTCAAAGATTATCTTTTCAATTCTAAATGCTAAAAATGTTTTTAAATGAGTTTTGGCTCTCCAAACGCTGATAGTGTAAGTCTCCTCACTTGTCTGGGAAGGCTTTCAAAGGTAGACATGGATTTTTCAAGCCTTAAAAACATATATGCTCCTGCAGCATTTACTGCTCTGAGAACGTGAAGGTGAAATTGACTTCATTGCTTTGCTCTCTCTAAGATGAGAGAATTGCAAAAATGTCAAACAGCGTAAAAAGTAAATTGGATTCTGAAACTTCTACTTTGAAGAAGTTGAAATAATAGTAATATAAAAATACATATGTGTAAAGAGATTTAAGTTGTACTTCTATTTTCAGTGCTTTTATTAAGATACCTATTTAACTGGTAGGAGCAGTTAAACACTTAAATAGTATTTTTGTAGAGAATCTGAATTATATAGTTGATAATTTATTCAAAGCTATTATGTGCAATGAGGCCGTCTGTGCCATTGACTTCATTGTTCTCTGTGCTCGTACAGAGATCTGTCTGAGTGGAGCCAACTTCAGGATTGAGGCCAGAAATTCTAAATAGGAAACAACAATTAAAATAAGTCTTAATATTGTATTGACCTAGCATAGATAAAACAGACTTTTAAAAAAAAAATCTGCAGAGTCACATACAGTTTAATTCCATTATACACATTTTATCAATTGAAATAACTTAGATATATTTTTCTGATTTGCTGTGAAGGAAAATGCATGCAGGCTACACAAGAAAGGGTTCTAGACATTGCTTCAAAATTAACATTTGGGAAGGAATTCAGCTGTGTATTGTATTTTTTAGACTTTATTCTTTTATTTGGATAGCTTTGTTATCAATACAATGATGTACCTTTTGTTAAGAGACAGAATGGCAAAACACAAATGATCCAATAAACTTGATGTTGAGTTTAATTGTGTGTTTATGCATGTATATAATCCTAGGATAAATAAAAAGAAAACAAATATTACTCTGTCAGGCTAGTGTGTAGTAGCTGAGCTGGTTCTTAAATCATTTTTAAACGGTTAAATGTCAGAACATGCTGTTAGTATGAGAAAACGTGACTTGTTAGTATAATTTTATTCAATTATAAGCTCCCTTACTCAGTTGCGACCTTAATTGTAGAACTGTCATTGTCCTATAATGGTATTAATCATTTATAGTAGGAGATCAGTCCTTGGGTTTTTGCTTTGTCTACTTGCACACTGAATCTGGCTAGAATTTCTTCTGAGGCCTGTCTTACTGGGTATGTCTTCACAGTAGCTTGCAGGTGGGATTCCTAGTGCAGGTAGACATTCATGTGCTAGGTCTGCTCGAGCTAGCGCACTAAAAACGCAGTGTGGCCATGGTGGCTTGGACTAGCTGCCCAAGTATATGCACAAGGGATTGGGAAGGATCATACATGAGTGGCTCGCCTAAGCTGCTTCAGCCACGCTTTTTTAGGGCACTAGAGCAGAGCCACTGTGTGTGTTTACCCACGCTGGAAATCATGCTTTCCAGATGGTTTGTAGACATACCCACTGGTTTCATACCTTTAGAAGGTGCAGACTAAAAGGGGAGGGCCCCAGAGACCTATTTCATATTCGGTGCACAATGGTACATCTAAAGATGCCCTCCGATTGAACAAGAGACTTTGCAGAGACCAATGCCTCATGCACTGTAAACCTTCAGTAAATTTTTGCCCAGCTAACTTATTACGATTAGTTTGCTGTACCTTTTGCTTAAAATGTTATGCAGGTTTTCTTTAAAAACAAACAGAAATGCTGGTTG